GCGGGATGCCCGGCGGCTGGAGGCCGGAGGGGTGCGGCGGCAGCTGGACCGGGGGCCCGTGGGCGGCGTGGGAGAGGTGCTGGGCCTGGAGCTGCTGCTGCTGCAATGAAACCACCAGTGAGCTGGGGAGGGGGCAACAGGACCAAGGGGGGGGATTTCGAGGCATTGAGCAGTGGCGCGGTGGCAGGAGCAGTGCCGGGAAGGGGCATGCCCGGCGTTACGCTGGGAGGGCAGCGAGGTGATGCCCCGGGGAGCTGCCTCGCTGGGCTGCCTGGAAGGAGAAGCCCCGTTAGCAGAAGGGACGGAGGGTGCCCCGTGCACGGCCCCGGCGCTGATCCCCACCGCAGCTGCCCACGACACGGCCGGGTGGCACGAGTGCATGCGTGCCACACGCACCCCAGGCCAGACTGCGGGAGTTGTCTTTAATTCAAGGCAGTTCACATCATTACTGCAGACTTGGCTGGTTTTGCTTTTCAGTAGATATTAAGCAAAAAAAAATAAAGAAATACCGCGCAGGACGCAGAAAGCAGCTCTGGCTGGAGTGCCAGCTGCTCAACCAGATCAGAGAAAGAAAACTCAAGCATCCTGGATCCTCGCAGGCCACCTCAGAAAGAAAAAAAAAAGTTTTGCTTATTTGCTCAGGACCAACTTTAAGGCACCTGATGGTGAGAAGAAAACTGCCCTCACGGTGCCTATGCCCCATCCTGCCACTCTGCTGCTCCTGTCCCCTTCCGACAGCGGCTATACATCCCCTGCACTGGCGATGGGGCTGCCCGGAGCGCAGGTGCACCCTCTCCCCCAGCATCACCACCCGCAGCCCCCAGCGCGCACGCAGGCGGCTGCAGCCTGGCTGGGCCGGTGCATGGCCCCCCCCCGCCGCCCCCCGGGGCTTTGGGGGGGGGCGAGCCCCAGCCATCCCAGCACGCACACATCCAGCCGTGGGAATTGCCTGCTCGTTTTTAGCTGGAAAAAGCTGAACTACAGCTTTGGGGAGAGGAAGGGAAAACCAAACGCATCCCCTGTGTTTCTATTTCAAATACAAACTTGAAGAAAACAAGCTGAAATCCAAGTTGCTATCAGTCAACAGTCTGTCCTCGGTGGTGTCACTTCCAAGAGCCCCAGGCCACCTCTCCCGCGGCTCCTCCACCCCAAGGACAGCAGGGTCCAGCCGGGAGGGTCTCAGAGCTGGCGCTTGCATTTCCAACCCTCCGGCCTGCACCCACGGCCACCTCAAGCAGCACCCAGCTAGCTGCCAGTGAAAGCTGCATTTGGGCAACTGCCCTCCAGCGGGAATCACGTGCCGGGGGAACACCCGAGCTGCAGCGGAGCCCCCCACGCCTCCCCCGGGTCCCCGCCACCAGCTCGGTTCAGGTTTTCTCCCTCCCTGGTGCTGCCAAGCACGGCAGAAGCGGTCACCAGCCCGGGCAGCTTTCTAGCAAGCCAGGCTGTGCGCGGAGGAGGATCCTGCGGCACAACGAGCGGATGCACCACCAACGCGTGTCCCTGCACGGGGCACCCTGAGGGGCACGGACGGAACGCAGGCGAGGACCCTGCCTGCAAGGTTCAAAGGGGCTCAGTCCCAGCCCTGCACCACAACAGCCAGGGAGCAAGGGGCTCCTGCCATGCCATCGCAGCATGGCTCAGCTCAAACCACAGCAGGGATACACCAAAAATACCTCCCAGGTATGGGGGACCCTAGATTTCCAACACGTCCATCAAGGAAATTTCCAGCACATCCTCCCCAGCGCTGCAAGGGGACACAGCCAGGTGCCCCCAAACCGGCTCATGCTCTGCAGCACTGGGGTGACCCCAGCACAGCCCGACGGGGCAGCACCAGTCACCACGACACAGCCCACAGCTCACAAAACACCCTGGGAAAGCAGGAGAAGCAGGCTTAATCTGACAGGTCCTTCACTCAGCTTCGCACAGGGCACAGCTCGACCCCGGCATGCACAGGAGGTGCACTTGAAAAGCCTTCCTCCTGCCATCGAGCAAGGCCGGCGCCCTCCAGCCCACAGCCCCGCACGCGCTGGCAGCCCCCCACGTGCCCGCGGGGCAGCAAGCGGCTCTGCCGCAAGGCCGTACACGCAGCCGCAGCGAGGCGGAGGGCAGGCTGCATGCCCCGCACCCTGCACGCCCCTCGGTGCACCCTGCAGACGCCCCGCCAGCCCCCGCAGCCCGGCTGCAGGAGCCAGGATGCAGCTTTTCGGAAAAAAACCCCACGCTGAGGCCACGTCTTCAGGGGAAGCACCAGTTCCACCCACCTCCCGACTAAAGGACCTATTTTAGGGGGTAGCAGGAAGGGGTGACTGGCTGTCACATGCTGGTGGGTGCAGCGGGACCGAGCAGCCTCTTGCTGCCCGGGGCAGAGCTGGGTGCAGGGAAAGGGGGTGGGCGACCCACACCTGCCAGGCTCCGGTTTCTAAGCCTTGTGCAAGGGGAGAGGGAAATCCCCACCCAGGATGCAACCCGGAGCCAGATCTGAAAGGCTGTAGCTACAGTTTCAGGCAGAGGAGATGCATTATCTTAAAACATAGCTTCTTCCGGGCAGCACAGAGGTCTCAGCTGTGGCAGAAGCCAAATCGAGAAGGCAATTAGGCCTCTGCAGTGCTGTTATAGGAAAAGCATGAATCATTGTGTCCTCAAAAGCAGGAGCTTTTGGCTTCTGCTGGGCTGCTCCATCCACAGGGCAGAGAGGGGGGGGCAGCCTCAGGACCTCTGTTTGGGGAGGTGTCCTCAAAGCAGGGGTGCAAGGGGAGCACCACAGCTCACGGTGGGGGTCCCGAACCCCAGAGGCTCTGCCGGATGGTGCCAGCACCGTACCGGTGCATCCCTCGACAGCACGGAGCACACTCCCTGCCTCCTGGCCATGCACACGGACCGAGATCAATCCCTCCGACATCAAAGCAAGAGGAACAGAGCCTGGGCTCTTGCTGAAATCAATGAGGCTCTTTACAGTCCCAGTCTCACGTGATTTCCACCCATTTAAGTGAGAGGCAGGGCTGGCCATTATATCAGAGCATCACCCTGGAGAATGGCCCCTGATGGTTTTCCAGCACAGTACGCCCCTCTCCCGCAAGCTTTCCAGCAGTGCCCATCCCTGTGGGGCCGGGATGCACAGAGATCCCATGCTTTATCCTCAGCAATCTTTGACTTCCACAGTGGGCAGAAATATCTGCACTGCATAATGCTCCTCCCAGGGGCTTTCCACCCCAGGGTGACACCCCGCCGCAGCAGCAGGAGCCCCAGAGAAGGGGGGGCACGGACTCACGGGCACCCTGGGTCCATGCAGCAACACTCCAGCCCCACGACGACGTGGGTCACAGCCTTGGCACAGCCCCAGGAGACGACGTAGCTCCACCGCAAGCAACGCAGCGGCACCCAGTTGGGGCAGAGCGGGGAAGGCAGGAAGAATCACCACCCTGAGACTTGCCCTCCAGCGGAGCAGAAAACTGCTGGTTTCCTCCCTTTTTTTTTTTTTTTTTTAAGCTGCTGGCAAATACATCCATCCAACGGCTCGGTGAGCTGCGGGGGACTGGCCCCGCGGGGTCTGAGCCGCCCTGCAGCAGCCCCGCTCCAGCACAGGGGAGTGGAAATGAATGTCAAGACAGAACATCCCAGTGTGGCCCGAGATCACAGTTCAATGTGGTTTTCTCCCCTTTGGCAGGCAGGAACCAGTGAGCAGAATCCATTTGGAAAGTCTCCTCGCCAGGCAGCTCTGGTTTGAAGCCTCGTCCCTCCCGTCTGGCGTCGGGGCTGGGCTGCCCGCAGCTCCGTGGGGTAGCAAAGATCACATCTTGGGGCTGCAGACCTCCATCCCGGCATCGCTGGAAGGAGCTATGCCCCGGCCAGGTCAGTCCCGTGGCCAGGAGAAGATGATGAGCTGACGAGCCCAGCACACATCCCTGCTGGGTGCTGGGGGATCCCCAGGCTCTGCTCGCAGCTCCCCGCGGCCGCCTCTGCAGTCCTCCCCGGCTGCATCGCTCCACCGTGTTTGCACACATCAGCCCAGGGAGTGGTCGATGCCCATCCCTCCTGCACGGCGCTCAGGAATCGCACCCTGGAGACTCCACGGAGGGGGATAAAACCCACCTGGGACTCCACGGCGCAGAGGGATGCAGTGGAGCTCAGCAATGCTGCTCACTCGGCATCTTCTCTGCTGAAAAGCCCACCTTGCCTCCCCTGCGCCTTACCCCCTTCCCTGAAAAAGGTTGTTTTTAAAAACCACATCAGGCAGGGGCTTGCTGCAAAACAGCCCAGGGAAGGGCAGGCTGCAGGAGCTCGTCGGCCACCTTTGCCACCAAAAAAACACGCCTGCACCCACAGCCAGCCGCCCCGGGTGGGTGCCCCACATCTCAGCTGGTGGCAGGGACAAGACGGGGTGCTCAACTCCAAGCAGGATCACGGTCCTGCCCGACAAAGCCGTGCACACAGCGAGGACTTGGGGCAGCCTTGTGGGGCCAGGGACCCTCCTGACACCTCCCCAGTGTGCCCAAGTTGAAGGGCAAGCTCAGACCCGCTCAGGATGCTGCGCTGGGGCTCCTCACCTGCTGGCAGGACCCCAAACCGGACCGACGTCCCTGCAGAGCCCAGGACATCAGCCTGCAGCAAGGGGCTGCGGACAAAGGTGCTGCAAACCCAGCCCCGGTGACAGCGGGGACATCGGCATCGCCCAGCCACCGGGTCCGGGCCAGGCAAGAGGAGCTGGCTGGAGATGCACACAGACAGAGATGTTTTCCTTCTGGGGTCCCTCGGCATGTGCCAGACAAATATGGTTAAGATATGAAGGAGGTTGCAATTTATGAGAAAGGCTGGCAAGGAATATCTTGTATGTAGAGTGTTTTTAATTGGATTATGTACATCATGCTTCATGCCTTTGTTAACCGATTTAATGGTTCACCACTTAAGTTCACCACTTGCGTTAAATTTAGTAAAGTAGTCTAATCATTTCCAGAGCTATAACCAAATCAAGGGCTCAATTTCACAGAAGCCTGAAGCAGAAGAACTGTGAGACAATGGCCTAGATGCATAAAATTAACAGTTCTTGACCTCAAAAGGGGCAAAAAAAAGGTTTTAATGATTTGGTGTGGTTTTTTGTGTGTGTCAATTTTGTTTAAAGCACCTGCACCACGATGCTGGTGCAGTTTATAAACAGTCACCTTCTCTTGCTGCCAGGCATGGCAGGGGACGGCGGAGCCACCCGTTGTTCCCATGGGACACGGGGTGCGGGTCCATGCACGCCCCAGCGCGCTGCCCTCTTCCACTCGAGAGGAACAAACACACACGAGTGGTCTGCCCCACATGAGCAACCCTACAATAACAAACCCCTGCGCACGCACAAAAGGGGAGAAATTCTGTTTGCTGGGGGGAAAAAAACAAACCAAACCCCTCTCGGTTTCACGTCTCGGCGGGCTCCGGAGCAGGTGCAGCAGCCACCGAGCAGCACAGACCCAAAACAGCTCCGCATCTGCCCGGAGCGTGCAGCACGTCCCAGAGACCAGCTCTGCCCTCCTCTTCAAGCCATCAAAGCACACGGCATCGCTCACCGCCCTCCTGCCAGCAGCCACCCCGCGTCCCTCCCTCGCCAAGGCGCAGCGGGAGGAGATGCTCCCCGCTGCCCAGCCCGCCCGGATCAGCTCCGCGCTCCTCCGGCTGCCCATAACTCCTGCCTCCTGAAAGTTCGTCAGGCAAAGCGATTAAATGGCTGGCTGCTTAATCACAGGACGACACTTGCTCTGATCCAAGGAAGCAATTACCTTGAAAATGGGGGTCACGGGCCCCGCTCATTTACCTTAATTGAATTCCAATATCTGCCTCTAGCTGCCTGGGCTCCTGGCTGCGACTTAAAGCAGCTCAAAGCCGAGCATCTCCCTCGCTTGCTGTCTCTGCCACAGATGCACCAGTTCACCTCCCAGCCTGCCAGGAAGGCGTGAGGTGCAGGCAGCAGCAGGCAGGAGGCCAGGCAGCTGCGTGGTGCTGCCTGCCACCCCAGCGTGGACCCAATAAGACACGCTCCCATGCCCGGACCGCTTCCCAAGTGCCACCACCACACAAGCCCCACCACGAGGGATCCGGCTGCCGCCGAGCCTTTCCTCGGCCCCAAGGGCTGCAGGAGCCCGGAGCACATTTCTACACTTAGTGCTACCCGTAAAACCAGAAAAATGCATATAAAAGCAAGTTAAATGCAGAGAATCACAAAGATCCTTGTAGCTTAAGAAAGAAGTGCAAGTAGTTACTAAAAAAAAAAAAAAAAAAAATCAGTATTTTTTGGACAACAAACACCAAAACCCAGAGGAGCTCTGGAGCCACCTCCCCAGGACACTGCTGGGGACGCTGATGTCCCAGCGCTAAGGGAGCTCCAAGAGAGAGCAGGTATGCTGCAGGACTGAGATTGTTACATCAATGAAAGAGACAATAAAAATTGTTAGTCTTAAAAACCGCCCGAGATATCTGCGAGAGAGAGCTCGGTAAGACGGGAGCGGGTAAGTCAATGCATGGAACAACAACTCCATCAAGTTTACAGCACATTTCACATCAACAGCACACGCAGAGACATGCCTGGGCTCAGGGGGCTCCGGGAGGGCTGCCAGGCACCCGGCCCTGCTCCGCTCCCCAAACGCTCCCCAGTCTCATGCAGAACATCAAATTTGGCCGGCCAGGGTCCCCGGTGCTGCATTAGTGCCCGGGGAGGGGGACTGGGCTACCCGAGCAGCGGCTGCCACCCCCCGTCTCGCTCGATGCCGGATTGGGGGAGTTTTGGTGGTTTGGGGGGGCTGCGGGATGGCCAGGGTGCTGCGAGCCGCCCTTCTTTAACCCGGCCTGAGCACAGGATTGCCTCTGGTTATGGTAAATGATAGGAATAAAAGGGGTATACACACGGTGAGAGGCAGATTGGGAAGTCCACGTACCCCGATGATAGCATTCAACTCCGTCATTGTCACTTGCTTGGCACGCTCAACAGCCTGTGCGACTTGCTGTTGGTGCTGCGGGGACAGAGGCGCACAGCCGGGTCAGAGGCGGGCACGGGGGCACCGAGCCAAGGCGGCACCCCCGGGCAGGAGCTGGTCACCCCTTTTTTTGGTTATATTTTACTCATGAGAGCAGCAGCCCAGGTGCACCTCCCTGCTCCATGGGGTGCAGGGGGAGCCGGAGCAGCCCCTCGCAGCCTTTTTTGCTCCGAGGGCTTGGTGCAGACCCCCATGGCCGAGCAAAGCCCCTCGTGGGGTCTGGCTCTCCCCCACCCCCAGGATTTTGCAACGTGTAGATGGGATCCCAGCCGTGTTCCTCACGGGGCACCCCAGAGCAGCCCCAGACCCCCAAACCAGAGGTTTGGTGGGAGCAGGTCCATGCCCCCTCACGGGATCCCCCGAGGGGCACAGCGCTGCCCACCTGGGGAAACCCCCCCGGGAGAAGCAGCATCCACCGTCTGCAGTGTGAAAACATCCTTACCTCTTGTGACAGAAAAGGCATGATCTGGGCTAAAATTGTATTCAGTCTTTTAGCAATTTCTGTCTGAAAAAAGGGAAGAAGAAAAAGCAACAGTTAGTACCGAGCAACCCCCCCCAGACTGCACAAGGCTTCCCGGCAGCAGTGTCGTGCATCCCCTCCCCGTCCCCTTCCCTGCATCCCCCTCCCGTGCATCCCCTCCCCGTCCCCTCCCGGCCGCGCAAGAGGAAGCGGCAACTCCCAAAAGAGGCAACGAAAGCGCCTTTGTGTGCGCTTTGCGCTCGCCGGCGCAGGGACACGGCCCCGCTCCCCACGCCCTCGGGACACTTCGGTCCCCTTCCCATCATGGGACCGAGTGTCACGGACCAGCCCCAGCAGCTTCGCACCAGCCTGGGTTCCCCTGGTTTCAAGAAAACGCTAGCACAGCTCCCCATCCTCACAGCAGCTGCCGCTCTCCAAAGAGGCCGGATCACAGAAAATCAGTTGGCCCCATCCAGCCGGGATCACGTGCGGGGACAGCCCCTCGCCATCGCTTCCCGCGCCCGGCGCTTACTTGCAGGCGTTGAGTTTCTTCAGAAGAAACCTCCGCAAACACACGCTGCTCCGCGCGGCAAGCGTTTAGTCAACAGCGAGGGTGGGTGCTTGCTCTGATCTCCGCACCGTCAAGGTCCCTCCCCACCCCAAACCAAAGCTGTTCGGGCTCCTTGCGCCATCCTCCCATCACACTCGGGAAACTTAACCCGTAACCATTTACACCCGCCAGCTCAGCCGCATTATTTGGGAGTTTAACAACAAACCTGTGCTGTCAAACTGTGGTTTCTACATCATCTCCATTAACTGGGAATAACGTTTTCATCGAGTGATAACCCCAGCACACGTTCGGGGCGAGCTGGCAGCCCGGTGCCGGGAGGTGCCATCCTGCCCCGCAGCACGCACCCCACCGATGCTCCCACTCAGCACGCGGAGCTGCCCGGATCGCCACCGCCCGGCTCCCAAGAGTTAACGCCGGCTGCTCCGGCGGCCAAGGCAGCTGTTAAAACAGCTTTTGGTCCAACTCAAACACGGCCCGAGCAGCCGCGAGGATTCAGCGCCGCAACAATGGCCGGAGCCGAGCCCTGGCACAGAATCAAACGCCCAGAAATTCCTTCCGACAGCCCTGAGCAGCTCGTTATCAATAACACAAGTGATTAACTGGGTCTCGCTCCAGCCTCCCCGCCGGCAAGGTGCCTCCTCCCTAAGACGGGCAGCAGCCACCCCCCACTTGGAGAGCCCCCGTGTGCTCCCCAAATCACGGCCTCCAGCTCCGGCACCCCGAGGCTTCGCCCTCCCCGACCCCCGCCGCTCGGCCCCAAGGCGTCCCCAGGATGTGCCCTACACCAGCTCCGATTTTTAATCCTAGCCCCAGTGGGGTGCTGACCCAGAGCGGGGCTCTCAGCTCCACCTGCGCTCAAATACCATGAGAAAAAAAAATCCAAATATCACAGTTTGGAGGAAAAAAACCAATAGACACTGAACCCTTCCTTTGAGGAATTGGACAGTGGCTGGGGCACTACAAGGCTCACCTGACAAGCACACCGCAGCTTGGGGCCCTGCTGCAAGGGGTCCCCATGAACCCCCAGCACCTCTGTGCGGGCATTGCCGCTTGCAGCTTCAAAGCGACGGGGATATTTCTGGCCGTCGTCTTTTCCGAAAGCACCCCGGCGATCGCGTTACACCTGATGCTTTTATTAGTCCTTCCAGAGGTCAGGGGAACGTGCTGGCACGCCGTGGCAAGGCAGAGGCATCTGGAAGTGACTCCGGTTTGGACTCAAGTACCTTGGCTACAGCTACGCGAGCGCTCCAGGCGCCAAGATTATCATGGACCCGAAAACAAGGATGTGAGGTGCATCGGACAGCTGGGGAAGGCACGATACTCCCAGAAGGAAGGGCTCTGGCCAGCGCAAGTTTTTGAACACCCAGCATGCGTGCATCACCCACCGACCACTCTGCGCCCACAAAATTGGGCTGCAAGCTAAAACTGCAAAAACCAAGGCCAGCCACGGCGCCGCGTCCGAAGGAGCGTGGTGCAGGAGCGTGGGCTGGCACCGTGCGTGCCGCCAGCTGCCCTGGCAGAGCCGTGCCACTTCAAAGCGGCAGCAGTGCCACCCATAACCACCCCGGTGCTCACATCACACGTTGCTCAGCGATAAGAAAACCTCTTTAAAGGCCTTTTTGGCACTGACACATCGATTAGATTATATATAAACTGCAGGTCCATTAAATATTTATTCCTTCAGATGAAGCCTATTGGATTCTAGACGTAACAAGCACTCAGCGCATTGCTCCTCCAGCACAGTTGCTTCTCCTGCGAGCTCTTTCTTGCCAGCCCCTAACAAATTCTAGAACAAATTCAGTCCTTATTTGAGGTGAAAACAGCGGTGCCAGCACGAGCAGTCCCTCCGGCTGTGTGTCGCAAAGGTCGTTTAGGCGTAAAGGAAAAAAAAACCGCAGCATCCAAAGAGGCCGCCTCTGCAGAAGAGGGAGGGAAGGTGCCGAGTGTTCCCCAGGCACCATCAGCACTAACACGGTCCAGGCAAACAAGACGCAAAACAACCCATGGCCTCCACGTTTAAATCCAATTCTGCCCAAACTTCCAACAAAGATTTGAAGAAAAACTTTGTGCTCTGCAGAGAGAGAGACTTCCCACGTGGGATTCAGCAAGCAAGAAGATATTAGATGTCCAAAATATTATGTTTACAACCGTGAGGTTTCCTGTTAACATGAGATTCAATAATCTTTAAATATTTGTTCACTTGAACATTTCCCATTCCCCAGCATATTAAACTCCAGTTGTCCCCATTAAAAGTTTAATTGGGAGCGAAAGGGGATCCTCCGGCGGGCTGGGAACAGGGCAGGGTTTCATGCCTGACACCTTCCCCATAACAGGGCTCATTCATCACCTTGCCCCAGAGCGGCGGAGCCCCCCGAGCCGCTCCTGCCAAGAAAAACCTCCATTCCCCGCCGCGGGTTGCCATGGCAATCCCAGCCTCCGCATCCCCTCCCAACGCCCTGCATCTTCGCTGGACCACGCCATACATCACCGAGACGGCGGCTGCAAACGAGCCGGGGATGAAAGACCGGGGGCTGCACAGGGCACCCCAGGAGAGGCACCAGCACCAGCACCCGTGGGAGCACCTCCCGGGACGCTCACCCCGGGCAGCGGGATGCTGATGGCGACTCCATGCCGCTCATTAAAAAGGGCAAGAAGTCAGGAAGACCTGAAATCCCGACTAATCCCCCACCGCCCCTCGCCCCTGCCAGCAATCCGACCTGCTGCTAGACAAGAAACCCTTCTGGAGTGGTGTTTCACGAGCGGGTAGGGGGGAAATCAGAGAAAACATTTGCACTGGTTATAAATCAAGAGACAGACCGCTTGGCCGCAGGCTGCAAGTCCCGTCACCCGCTCTTAAAATGGCCAGAGCTGCTACCAGCACCCAAAGCGCTTAAGGGCACGGAGAGCCGCTGCTGGAGCCGAGTCAAGAGCCGGGCAGGGGCTCCGGCTGCAGCAGTGTGCGGCGGCATGGTGTTAAATAGCTGCGGGGCTGGCTCTCCCCAGCAGCCCCGGCCTCTTGTCTTTACACCTGGACATGGCAGAGGGAAGTTTAAAAATAACTCTGCCGGCCGTCAGTCGCGGGATACGCAGAGTGGAGTTGAAAGGAGCAACCTTAAAAATCACCCGAAGCACTCGAGCGCAAGCGGAGCCCCAGCTTTGAATCAGGGTGAGGGGGTGCGGGGGGGAGCCTGCACCCTGGCAGGCACCGCTCTGGGCAACAGAGATGCTCGCTGTGCCAAAATATATTAGCCTTCGCCTTAGCTGAGCAAGCAAACGGGAGCCGCAGGGCTGCCGCTGCCCCGGGGGTCGCACCCCTGGGCTGATCCCAGCACCCTCGGGCAGGACCAGACCCAGACCCCTCCTGGGTTCCCAGCGCTCCGGAGCCTTTGGGGCCAGCGCTCAGCCACGCTCTGGGGACGGAGGTGCTTCCAGAAACCCCCTGCTCTGCAGGGAGCACCCCAGCCTTCCCAAACGCCCTGCACGAAGCGGACGCACCCCGACCCGCACCCTGAGCGGGATGGATCCTCCACGAACCTACATGGTTTTGAAAGGAGTCACACCAGCGCACCAGACCAGGCCACCTCAGACGCAGTCTCAGAACAGACTTTGGGCCACACCAGCCCAGACCCTTGCTTATTGATTTAAACAGCGGGACGCAGGCTGGAGCCAAGGGGCTGTACACACGCACCGCTCAGCTGACCCTTCCTCCTCTTGAAAAACACAGCAAAACGTTATAAAGACTTTCCACCGCAAGCCTAAACCCCCGGAGCGATGGGGCTGGTAGGGCGCCCAAAGCGATGGTCCGTGGGATGCGGGAACATCATCCCACGGCTCACACAAGACTCCTGGGAAGAAGCACCCTCCCGCGAGCCCCCAGCTTTCTCCTTGGCTCCAAAACCACAGGTCACCCCGCACGCACCCCGACGGTGTTTTTGGGACGGGTCTGCACCGCCACAACCCTCCGCCAGCCGCCCCAGGTCTCCCGCGGCGCCGCGCAGGTCCCCCCAGACCCCAGCCCTGCAAGAGGGCGGCAGGGGCGGTGGGAGGAAGGCAAGGAGTAAATCACACCACCGGTGAAGCACCAGAAGCATTTGTTGAAACCAGGATATTGTCTCTTTAAGCACATGAAAATAAGGCCCTTGAGCAGTGTGGTTCTCACTCCGGCGCACAATTATGGGTACTTTCAGCTGTCTACCACTATTTCAAGTGCTCTCTCCAACCAGGCTGTCAATGGCATGTTGAAAGCTATTTGTGGCTGCTATCGTTATTAGCAAAGTGGAGAGCTTCACTGATGAGAATTAAATTCAGGGAGGGGGTGTGGAGGGGCGGACCACAACCCCTCATTACAGAATTACCACCAGTGCCCGGGCTGCGGGGGGGCAGAGCTCACCCGGGACCCCCAAAACCCACCCGGGACCCCCGGGGCCGCCCGCAAGCCAAGGGGAAGGGGAGGTTAAGCTGGCTGACAGCTATTCCCTTCTACCTTAGGAGACCTGAGAGTATCACACTAACAAATTACTTGGCTTCTGAAGTATTTAGCAAATTATTACCTGGCACTCCTTGCTAACAAGCATGACAGAAAGTATATTGTGTTCTTGGAATATTCTAGAAAAAAAAAAAAGCATGCCTCTCTTCCCCTGCAAGTGTCAGGAGGGTTTAGGTTTGTTCCAAGCATTAAGTGTTTAAGCACAAAAACAAGAAGTGCTTATGTGGAGAGTTCTCAGCCATAAAAAAAAAAAAAAAATCAGCACAAAGGTTCTCCCCTCTGAGGTGTCTCGTTTCCCCACGCAAAATTAGTTTTTCTTTTGGAATCCTTATTCCTTCCGACTGCATTCAGCAATTATCTACAGAGATCTGAACAAAAACAATGCCAAAACAAGAGGGGAGTGAAAGTTTCTTTGGTAAAAATCAATTAACCTTAAAAAAGAGTTTCGCTCAGGTTTAAAAAGAAAGCTCCCGACTGGCCTCAGGTTTAAGCAAGCCGAGCCCGGGTGCGACAGGGCTTCATTCAGCAGGCAGACTGATGTAAGGAGCAATTCACTGCGTTATATGCAACAAAGTGGGTAGTCACTTCCTAAATATTTCCTTGCATATGGAGTTGTTTATGAAACTACATTTTTTTCTTAACAAGAAACAAAACGAGAAGAAAGGGGAAAAAAAACCCCCCCACACAGCCACATATGCACACACTTAATATTCAGCGTAGAAGAGATAATCTGTTATATAAACCCACAGACAGACAATCCCCTTTTGCTTAAAGATGAAGTATCCATCAATGTTTGTCTCAAGCAGATGTAATCACAAGCAGTCAAGTCTGGAGGGCAGGACACTGCATGAATAATTCAAGCACTTCAGTCTACTTGATTGTGTGCAGATAAACACAAGTCAACCGCTAAACAGGTCAGCTGATAAACTTGTTTGTTCAGGACTAGCCACCCTCAACCAGATGCAGGCAGGACCAGGCTGCAATTAGCGGCGGGGATGCCTTTCGGGGGGATGCTGCAGCCCAAGAGAGGGGCGAACCCTCCCCGGGCACCCGCTCTCCCATCCCTCCGCTCCCTCGCGCCCCATTTTCGCCTGGAGGCACGCTGGGAGCAGCTCGGGCCGCTTTGTTTTCCTCCAGCACCATGCACATTGCTGTCAATTAAAGAACAAGACAGCTTCACCTCCCCAAACTTCCCCCATCAGCCCAGCACTAGGCACGCAGCATATGTCACCAGGAACAACTAAAACAGGCGGGGGATGCTCCTCGCAGGCTGGAATCATCCGGCGAAGATTTATCTGCCGAGTTGCAAGGCGACGAAGCTCCCAGCAAGGCAAACCGACCACGCAGGGCCTCCCCGGGCTGCCAACGCCGCGGCGTGGGAACTGCCACCCTGCAAAATCCGGGTCGGGGAGGGCAGCGGCGGCTCTGCCTGCAGCTGCCTGCGCACCAGCCCCACGGAAAACTGCCCCTGGGCATTTTGAGGCTCCTCAGTTACCCTCCGAAACCATCCCAGATGCTTTGCCTCGCCAAACGCCACGGGGAAGACAGGCCACACGGTCACACCGCAAGACGGAGCGGATGGCGGAGCGCCCCATCCACACGCCAACGACGCCAGAGCCCGGGACGGGCTCTCACCCCCCGGTCCTGACACTCATCCCGCGGCGCAAACCCTCTCAGATCAGTTTTTGGTTACGACCATGCACCGGTGGAAAACACGCTGCGCATCTCGGGAAAGAGCAATTGCTTCCAAAGCTTCCATCAAGAGAAAAAGCTCGATGTCTTGCTGTGTTATTTCAGCATCTCCCAGCGTTTGCACAGAGCGAAGCTCTTCCATCACCGAGCGACCAGGTGGTAAGGGGCAATCCCTCTCCCGAAAGCAGCCTGCACCAACGCTTGCGCTCCTCCGATCCCTCGAGCACTTCTGAAGAGGCTGCAGGGTCCGTGTCCCGCCGGCCACGTGCAAAACGGGGACGGGGTCCTCGCAGGAGGCCACCCCAGGCCTCAGCAGAAATTCTGCATTCAGGAGGATTCCCGGTCCCCGCAGGCAGCGCCGCCTCGCCTGGACGCTTTTGTCCGGGCAGCAGCGACCGAGAGAAAGAAGTCAGGATTATCTGCATGGAAGAAGATACTTTTAAAAAAACCCGAAGACTAAGCAGTAATTATTTTCGTTACCCCGTGACGACGTCCCCGAAAGCTAAAGGGAAGCGTGTGCGAAGAAGAGAGGCAGATTCGCAGACACGCTGCTTTGAATTTCATCAGTCGGCTAACGACACTTTCTTACTCCGGGCTGCTGCGATGCTGCTATTAAGCAAAACCACTTTGGAGTTGAATGGGGCTGATTTGCGAATTGCAAAGTTGATGTCAACTTCTATCTGCCTTAAGTTCTTAATTAGAACTACTTCTAAAACCAGTAAGCAGCAGCAGCACAAATAATCAGGTCTAATCTCAATAATAACTTTATTCCTTTAAGTTTTACCATCATGTGCCCAGCCTTTAGGCTCTTTAACTATAATCTTATCAAGGTAGCACACCACATTCTGCTATGGCCTTCTATATTTTTCCCTCAGGCAAGTTATATGTTAGAGGAGACCAAAAAAAAAAAAAACAACACACCAGAGTACCCAACATTGCTTCATTTTCCAGATGCAAAGACAAATCCGTGACATTGAGCAACACACCACAAGCTATCGGTATCCCTGAAGATAATTCCCTCCTAAGTCTCACGCCGCTGCACGGCGAGTATCAGGGCTACGACCTTAGAAACAGTCGCGCTGTACCAACAACAAAACCGGAGGAAAACGCAGGAGATAACAGTATTTTCCCAGTGCCGGGAACGCGCTATTCCAGGTACCGACCTCCCAGCGTGGAAGGCAAGGCTGTTTTCACCTCTTCTCACAAACACTCTTCGCAAAAGCAAAGTTTCTCCTGAATATGGGCAAAACACCCCACCGGCCTGCCATCAACCCGCCGTTCCCGGCGGAACTGCCGGGCCCCGCCATCCCACCGGGAGTCACATCCCCGACTTCTGCACCTATTCCCCATTCAGGGCAATCAGGGCCTATTTTATCTCGGGTTGAGAAAAGGGCACCAGGAGATCAATCGCTCACAATTTTCCCCCTTTAGATTACTCACCTGTTTGTGCATTTCAATATTCAAACCATACGACATTTCATAGTACTGGGGAATAAAAAAAAAAAAAAAAAAAAAAAGAGAGCCAAGAAAAATTTGAATTAATTTAACATAAGGTATTTGCATAAGGTCATTACCAGAAAGCATCCCGGTCAAAACTGCGCTTAAAGCGTTCGTAGCCAAGGAAATTATACCTTATAACAAGCAGATGTTTATAGGGTTTAACTGGCATGCATTTAACAGGAGGACACTCCTTTTTACTCCTGTTTTCTCCTCCTAAGCTACTTCTTAGAAAAACAAAGAGGCGCAGAGCCGTGTGACAGGCGCCTGCACAGCCCTGGCAGAACAGGTACGGCCCGGAGCCTGGCCAAAAACCCAGTTTCTCACTGCGGGGGGGGATTTCTGCCCCCCGGGGTGCAGCGGTGCTGCTGGGAAGCCCCCGGCCCCCGCCGGGAAAGGGGCGCTGGGTGCTGCCAACCCCCTCGGCCACGCCACCCATCCCAGCCCGGGGCCCTGCCGGGCAAATTTCCCCCAAAAGAGGCTTTTGTGGCAACCCGAGAACCCCCTTTTCCACCGGGGGGCGGGGGGGG